TATAATTTTAAAAATCATATAACAAATGCTGTTTGTGAAAGATATGATGTTAAAGGATGTCCTGAACCAGGAAGTCATCATGCTTCAATGATGGTAACATTATCAAGTCAATATGATTATTTTATTTTTGCTGGTGTTATTACTGATAATAATGCAGCTTTTAATTTAACTATCACAACATTATGTCCATATAATTGTGGTGGAAATGGTGTTTGTGATAAAGTATCTCAAACATGTATTTGTAATGATGGATATGTTTTAAAACAAGATAGTTGTTCATTGTGTGGAAATGGAAAAAAAGATGAAGGTGAAGAATGTGAAAAAGTTTCTGGAAATAATTATATTGACCCAAATTGTGATTATTCTACCTGTTCATGTGAAGATGGATATATTCCATTAACAATCAATGGTGTAACTAATTGTGCTGTTCCAACTTGTGGAGATGGAGTAATTAATGATTATGAAGAATGTGATGGTGGAGAAGGTTGTCACCATTGCGTTTGTATTGAAGGATATCGTCCTTATGAAAGTCCAAGAATGTATTGTTTAAGTAATAAATGTGGAAATAATGTACTTGATGAAGGTGAAGAATGTGATGGTGGAGAAGGTTGTTATGAATGTGAATGTCAAGCTGGATGGTTTGAGGCACATTCAGTAGGGTGTCAAAGAGTACGAAGATCTATTGTATCATTAATAATATTTATAGGTGGAATTATCATATGGATATTCATTTGGCTATTACTACTTATTGGTTTTATTTCAAAATACATCTTCTTAAATAAACTTATCATTTCAGAACAACAAAAAGAAGAAGTTAATGAACAAATGACATTAAAATCAGATGTATATTCATTTGCTATTTGTATGTTAGAAGTTTGGATAAGTAAAGATCCATATAATTCAATAAAATTCCCAGATGGTGAATCAATTCTTAAGTTTGTTGGAATAAAAATGAAAATTAGGAATAAGTTGTTGTTGTGCTAAAAACTTCTTAAAAAATAAAAAATAAGAAGATATTTTCATTTAAGGTACTCTAACAAAAGTGTATTATTTGTTGGCATCAAGATTTAGAACAAGTCTCAGTATTTATTTATTTAGAAATATTACAAAAGAGTATAATTGTTGATACCTCATAATACTTCTTGTTATGAAAGTCATTGTAAAACAAATTCATTGAAGAAATTTGACAGAATTCTTTTTAGGCACAGGTAAAAAAAGGATTTTAATACAAGTTTGACTATTGTTTAGTTGTTTGCTAATGCTTTTCTTTAATGAACAAGAACTATGAAGTAGAAGAAAATATAAAAATGAAGAAATATAAAGTCACTATATTAGAAATCGTCCCACTCTGATACTGTTTTCTTTTTTATAGTTTCTTCTTCTTCTTGTTCTTGGTCATTACCTCCAAAAAGAAATTCATCATCTTCTGGAGGTTGGCTTTCGTTTTGTTTTAATGTTTGTAAAAACGTACTCAATTTGATTGAGGGCTTAGGTTGTTTGTTTTCTTCTTTCTTTAAAAACAAAGGTTTTTGAATGTTTTTTTTTTCTTGAACATTTTCGTTGTTTACTTTTTTTGTAGTGTCATCCTCAAATAATGCTAACAATTCATCAACATCGTTTATGTCATCATCTCTTTCATTTTTGTTGGGAGGCTTTAATGATTGTGTTGTGGTTGTTAAATGTTTTTCTATTTGTTTCTGTTGTTTTTCTATATCACTAAACGATTTTTTATATTTTCTTTTCTTTTTTTCATCTTTCTTTTCAAAGGGTTTAATCATTTTTTGATATAAATCTCCTTCTTCAACTTCTTCTTCAATATCAAATTCTTTCCACATGGAGTGTTCTGATTTTTGTTGGTTTTTTTGTTCATTCTCTTCTTGGAGATACCAAACATTATTTTGTTCTTCTTCATTTATTTGTTCTCTTTGTTCCACCTTCTTTTGAATATCATTTTCTTCTTCTACTATCCTTTTTTCGTTGTACTCTCCACATAACGTTCTTAAATCTTTTGCTTGATTAGATATACCAAATATGTGTTTGTATGATTGTTTTTCTCCACAGACTTTACATTGAAATTTCTTCAGTTTGTTCTTAATATGCACTTGAAACATTTTACAAGAAAAACATTGTAATAACACAAATTCTTGTGGCATTTGTTATTAAGATTTTTGTTTTCTATCTTCTAGTTTTATTCTTTAATCTTAACTAAAAAATAAATAAAAGTTATTACCCTTTCTTAGCTGTTTATTGTTTATCAGTCCATAGAATAATGGTTTCTCAAGAAACAGAGATTTGTAAGAGAGTAGAACTCACTTAAATTTTTTGGAATGTTATATATAGCACAATTAACATACTGTTAAATATGAATGACGATCAATCAACAAAACACTAATCCCAGATTGTCAGTTGTTGAAAACTTTCAAGAAATAGTTAAACCAACTTAAATAATCGTTAATTAAAACATATAAAATAAAAATACTGAATTATAATATAGAACACTAGTAAAATACTTAGAATAACATAAACAAATAAAACCTAAACAAAAAGAAAGAACAAGGTATGTTCGAGATAGAACAAGAATGTGTCAGTGTTTTGTTATTCAATTGATCTGTTTTTCTTCTTTTTTTAAAGACAACCACTTGAGTAATCATTTTTATTACACAAAATTATTCAAATTGATAATTAAGAAAAGTAACAAAAAGTAAAGAGTTTCATCTATCTTATTAAATATTTTGAATTGAATAGGTTAAATTTATTATGAGTAATTTGAACGAACTTTAATGATAATGTCTATTTGAACTATTACAGAATATTATTCCTTTTTTCATATTTTTAATCATTGGTATTATTCTTCATAAATATCAAAAATTTGGTTCTTCTTTGTAGAGGAAGAGTTTAGTCTACAGTTTTCATGATAAAACCAAAGAAATTCTTTAATCGTTCCATTACAGAGAAGATTAGTTTATTTAAGATTATGCTGGATAATATTTTTCATATTAGAATAACTCATATAAAAGATTCAATTAACTTTTTTTAAAAAAAATATCCAAAAGAGTCATGGTTTAATTTGATAAATGAATAAGGAAAAAAGGTGTATGGGAAATTCTTTAATTAAAAGATATTTTATAGTAATGTTGAAAAATGATTGAATCGTAGTATAAAAATAGATAATTGAAAATGTGATGTCAGAAACCCTTATTATGACTGATTTCCTGAAAAAAACTAAAATATTCAGTTATGGTGAATACTTTTATTCTTTTTTTGTTTAGTTCTATTTGTTTTGGTTACTATTGTTTAAAAGAACAGAAGAACGATATTATATTATATACTAACACTTCATGTATTGACCCAACAATAAAAAATCTAGAATTTGTTGGAGATTATACTAATTACTCATCTTTTATTATAGACATATATAGTGTTTATTCATTTGTTAAATTTGGTTCACCAGACAAAACATTTCAAGCAAATAAAGTTGTAATTCAACTAAAACAAAAATTGAATAATCTATATTCAATTAATTTTAATCATATTGAAACAAACTTTGAGCTCTACTTAACAGACAATAATTATTTATTTGGAGGTATCCAATTAAACTTTTGTAATGGAAACAGTCCAACAAAAATAATTGGAGACGTTGATACATTGTGGATTTATGGAAATGATGACGTTAAATTTAATTATCATTTACCTATTCAACGCACTTATTTCTCTTCAACTAATACTATGTTAAAACTACCGTTTAGTGATGGTATTCGTTATTTAATATCATCGTATGAAGGGACAATCAATCAAATAACATCAACTTCATCAAGTGATGATTATTTCAATCAAACATGTGGTGGAATGGTTCGTTATTTTAGTATTAAGAATATTAAGTTTCATAGTGCAACATCAAAATGTTTGCGTTCATTCACAAAGGATGAAGAAGATGATTTCAACTTATTTATTGTTACTATTATTATGTCTTTATTACCTAATTATAATTATTACATGGCATTATCAACAAATAATTATATTATTAGAAATAACTATGGAACAGATATTCATAAAGTATATACATATCCTAATCAATGGTTAAAATATGAATCATCAAATCAAACAACATTCAATATTTATAGAAAGAAAGAACCATATCAAAGAATTGAATTTAGTTTAACAATTGAAACATCAAATGAAGGAACAACATCAATTAAAGAAGTAGAAAATAATGATAAATCAATTTCAACAGTAATTATTTCTTCTTCAAAACCATTAACTGATTTAACTAAAGTTGAATTTTTAGAAACAACATCAACAAAGAAAAGTCAAATAATGATTATTGGAATGAATGGAATAACATTAGATAGTATTGGATATAAGAATTGTAATATAATGATTTATAAACAAGAAATACAGGAATGTATTGAATGTGAAAAAGGATATTATTTAAATTCAAATAAAGAATGTCAATTATTACCAGATAATTGTATTGTAGGATATAAAACATATTGTTATCAATGTAAAGAAGGATTTATTAAAGAAAAAGGAGAGTGTAAAGAAATTGATAATAAATGTAATAAATCAGAAAGAAATTATTGTTTAAAATGTTCAAATGGATATAAAATAGAAAATAATCAATGTAATGGAGATAAAGAAGATCAATGTTATTATGAAGGAAATGAATGTGTATCATGTTCAAATAGATATACATTAAATAATGGAAAATGTTCAATTAAAGAAAAGAATCAAAATGGAAAGAATGAAGAAATATATTGTGAAAATGGAAAATACATCAATAATAATAAATGTATAGAATGTTCAAAATCAGAAATATGTCAAACAAATGATATTGAAATAAAATGTAAATATGAAGAATATTTAGATAATAATAAATGTATAAATAAAACATGTGAAGAAGATATGATAAAAGATCAAAATGGAAAATGTAATAATAATAATAATATTGAATATTGTTTAAATAAATCATATGTTAATGGAAAATGTGTTGAATGTTTAAATACATATTCACCTAATTTGAAGGGAGAATGTATTAATACAAAAATAGAATATTGTGAAGAACAAAATACATATGGATGTAAAAGATGTGAAGAAGGATATTATTTAACAAAAGACATGAAATGTTTAAAATGTGATGATAAATGTGAAACATGTTATGGAACATCTACATATTGTATGAGTTGTTCTAATGATAAATATTTAAGAAATGATAAAACATGTCAATCAAATGAAGAACTAAATGGAACATGTTTACGAATATTGCCAGATGGAAGTGGATGTGGAATATGTAATAAAGGATATTATAGAAATGGAAAAGGATGTTCAAAATGTGAAAAAGAATGTTTAACATGTAATCAAAAAGATAAATGTATAATATGTGGAGAAGGATATTTTATGAGTTCAACAGGAATATGTAAATCAACAACAACAATTAAAGGGTGTAAAGGAGAAATAGATAAAGAATATGGATGTAGAGAATGTTTAACAGGATATTATTTAATAAATAAAGAATGTTCAAAATGTGGAAATAAATGTATAACATGTTTAAATGAGAAAGAATGTAATACATGTGAAGATGAATATATAATAATAAATAAAGAATGTATTCATTATTCAAATATTAATAAATGTAAAGAAACAAAAAATAATAAATGTTCAAAATGTTCATTTTGGTATGGAATCAATGAAGAAGGAACAAAATGTAATAAAGAAATTGTATGGTGGATGATAATGATAATTATCATCATTATACTTATTATCATCATTATAATAATTATAATTATAATAATAATGATTAATTACATTATAAAACGCAAAGAAAAGAAAGAACAAGAGAAAACAACAACAATATTTAAAATTTCACAATCAAATATCAAATTCATAACACTTGGAGATGGAATAATAACAAATAAAAAAGAAATAGAAATAGGAGAAGGAGAAGAAATTGAAGTAAATAAAGAAATCAGAGAATTAATATGTATTGGAAATGAAAAGAAAGAAAAAAAGAAAATACAAATAAGTAGTAAAGAAGAAAA